TATTGGTGGGATACAAGTTCAAGTTTTTAAATAAAATTCCAACCTGTTCATAAATCTCAAGAGCCTTGGCATACTCCTCCATCTGCGCCGAGTACATTGCAACCTTCAATAAACACTTGTTGGCTGAGCTGAAAATAACAGAATTCAAGACTAATTTAAAATTTAAAAATATCTAAGAAAAATCAACAGTTTACATTTGAGAATCTTTCACAGCAGTAATATATATCACTTTTGGCATTCATGCACTTAATCAGGTGAACAGAGATTTCTAAAAAAATATACTGGTATATTTAACATATTAGGCTCGCTGCTAGAGTCCTAAGCTAACACGTTCACTTATTTCAAGGATTGAGCTTTGTCCAATTAATATGAACCCTTGGGCAAAATGGTTTTTCTTTTGTCTGAAACCTTAGTCATTCCATCAAATTGATAGTGATTCACAAAATACTCCCCTCGGCACAATAGTAATTAACATGTTTTGAGCTTTCACTTCAGCGCGTAACAAAGCGTCTAAAATGGTAAACAAGCAAAGAAGTTCTCAAAATGCTTGCAAAGAAAGGCATTTTCACAACTATAATAATCTATAGTCACCTGTTTGATTCTTCTCCTCTGTAATACTGAGCAGCTTGATTGTAGTGAAATATTGCCTAAGGAAACATATTTTACCAACAAGGAATTACACCATTGTTTTACAGGGGTACACTTTAGGTCAGGGGATTTTATGCTATAGTGCTATCTTCTTACCTACCAACCATATTAGAACTGTCCCCACTAGGTTAGAACTTTTCTTATCGAAATAAAGGGTTTACTGTAACTTGTCACAATTGTTTTTTTTTTTTTATTGTTTAGCCCTGTTTTTCACTGAGAAGTTGCATGTCTGCTTAGGTGGGTTTGTTTTGTGGAATTTACTGTGTAAATAGGTATACAGTCAGGCTCCCAGCTGAGTGCAAGATTTAATTTATACTAACGGTATTAACATTAATTTCAAAATTTATCTTCTTAATTCAAGGTCACCTTTTCCAAATCAGCTGCATTGTTTTCATGAATTTCTGCCACTGTAATGTGATGCTTGGCAGCCATTGTAAAGCGACCCTTATGAAGAAAAAAGAAATGAGATCTCTAAGTTAGATTTTAGTAAGAAATCACCACACAGGACTGAGTGAGATACATGTTATTCAGTGCAAAAACAGAGTAGATGCCTTTTTGATAATTCAAATGGTAACTATTTAACAATTGATTCATCCTTTACATGTAGCAAGCATCATCAAGTTATGATGCATGCAAAGGTCTGGAGAGCACAAAAGAAGGTTAAGAGTTGCCAGAGGTGCTCCTTGAGCATTCTCCAAACTTCAAGTGCATCATAACTTGATGATACACAGCGAAAAGCATGAATCAACAATATATGAATTGTTTTGTAACACTGTACTGCTAGAAATAAATAAAACTTCTCATGCCATGAGTGTGCATCACTGGATTGTGATGTACATTGTGCACTGTCTTAACGTAAAACTCCATATATAAGCTACACCTGACTTATACAATAACTTTTACAGTACATAATTTATACTGAATTTGACAGAGTGTAGGCTTTGCCAGCTCTGTGATATGAAGGTAAATTGCGCAGTTGCAAAACTAAACCATGTACCTATGTATAAAATTGTTCCCCAAATTCAAATTATTCAATGTTCAATGTATTCACTTTCTTGTTGTTGGTGTTGTTGTTGTTGTTATTGTTTAAGTTGTTGAAACATTTGCAACATTAGGGTTGCTGATTGCTGCAAGCATTTTATTGATCATTTTGCAATACTGTGCTCTCAACACTGCAATTTGACAAAAGTTGAGAACTTTTCAAGTTAGGTCTGGTGCCTCCAATTTTTTCCAGTTTTTTTTTGTGCAAATGCACTAGATATGAGATTGCAATTTTCTTGCTTAAAACATTTGTAAACTACTTTGATTTTTATTGTTTTAGATAACTTTAATGCATGTGAGACAAAATAAAATTAAACTCAACTACATGTAGGTTTAATTAAAAAGTTCAACACGTTCTATGCATGATGAGAGTCTCTCCTACCATGTCTGTGTAAATGTCAATAGCCATTTCAAAAGCTCTTGCAGCCTCTGTAACACAAACATTTAGTGAGCAATGAGAATTGGAAGTAAATCTGGATACAAAATACTAAACTTGTATAAAGTTGGACCCTGATAATTTAAAATTCCCCTAGAATTGCCCTTCAGTCATTTACTATCAGCTATTTCAAACTCCCGCTATTTCAAACTATTTTTTGTTTCCCCTGAGGGTTTGAAATAGAGGAATTCAGCTATACTAACAGAAGAGGTAGGTAAGATAAGGAAGGTAGATTATGTCAGTAAACCCAAATGTCTCATACCACCAGAACTTATATGTCTTCCTGATATGACACAAACTTTGACTAAATTTGCCTCAGATCAGTTCTAATTCATAGAAAACAAAAATGAGAAAAATGTGACTGGTTCTACCCCTTAAAAGGAATGTTCCTTAAAAAGAAATTAGTGGAAAGGAGCATTGCAAAATGCAATGAAAAAAACAAAAAACAAAGCAAGACTACACCACTATGCTATTAACTAAACCATAATTCCCTCCATCTGTCTTCAAAAAGAGTTATTCTCTTTAAATGGCAGTTAGTAGGTTAAAGATGGTGAGATAATTATACCTTCTACATCTGTTTTCTTAAAACAGTTTCCAGCATCCACATATCGCTGCCCTGCCTCATGTTTGGACTGCAAATTGAGTTGTAACTGAGCAGCTTCCATGAATGCTGTACCAGCCGCTACAATTAACAGTAAATTGCACAAGACTAGATGTTAACAAAGAACATATGTATTGTCTGTGGCAACTTAATGATTATCATTGCAGCTACAAAAGTTTGATACTGCCCATATGTTGACCTTTTTTCTTTTAAGCAGTTACGTCTAATTACAAACCGCAAAAGCAAATGCAAAAGCTGCTTTCACAAGCTGGTGAGGGGAAAGCAGAACACAGAAAGATAATGAATGAAAATAGAAATGCTACCAATATTTAATGACCCCATATCAGGGGGGACAGGGGGTCAGAACCTCCTGCTTCCCATACCCTGCACTTCCACTTCCAGTACCTTTATCTCCCGACTCCCACCCTTGTCTGTTTTGCTCATGGCCCATGTAAATAAGGAGGCTCAAAATACATCCTAGTCATTTAGCTGCGTTTCCTTTTCCTTTTTTTCTTTGTTTTCAGCCTTGCTCCTCTTACTCATGTATTTTGACAGCTTGAGCAACAACATTTCAGGATCAAAATAACCTAAATGTAAGTCGAATAACATTTTGGGTTCTTGTTTTTGAAAATATTTTACAATGTCGGAAACTAAATTTTGAAAGCAATTGCCATTCGGGATAGTGACTCTCAAAATGCACTCACCCAATTGCCCAGAAAGATACCTCCCCCTCCTTCCTGAGTGCATCATACCTTTATGATGCATGCGGAAGCATGAATCAATTGTTAAGTACAACGTAACATGCCAGGAATGAGAAGACATGAATGACCATGGCAGTTATTTTCCCAACTTAAACAACTGTGAAATTAAAACCATCTATGGGTCCTGGGGGCGGGGGGCGGGGGGCAGGGGGCGGGGGATACTCCCTTATATGGGTTATATAGGTATGTGCGGCCCCAAAGGGTATGGTTTTTCACCAATTGTGGTCATAAATAGGGTATCAATTTTAGCTGATTTTGGCCATTTTGGTCATAAACAGGGTATGGTTTTTGCACTCTAGTCTTGATATGGGTATGTTTTTAAGAAGAAGCCACTTTTTCATCATTATGGAAAAGAAAATCAACAAAAACCCTTCACAAATTATGTTTACAGTAATTTAACATTGGTCTGAACCAGGGAACATAAAATTATTACAATGCAGGTCTGAAACAGGGTTTTCATTTAAGGGTCAGGTCATAAATAGGGTTTAGAATTTTTGGTCAGGTCATAAATGGGGTAGGAAATATCGCAGATTTTGGTCATAAATAGGCTAAGGGTTTTGGGAAGCGGGCCAGACACCCCCACCAATTTTTTCTGGGAGTACCCCCCCTGCCCCCCGGGCTACTGGTATGTTATGAACTCACAGTGTGACCAGCTCCCTGTTGGCTTGATAGCTCAGTTGGTGGAACACTACACCACTATCGTAGAGGTCAAGGGTTTCAATCCTGTTCACAGCATGACCAGCTCCCTGTTGGCTTGATAGCTCAGTTGGTAGAGCACCACTCCAGTATTGCAGAGGTCATGGGTTCGAATCCCGTTCAAGCCTAAATTTTCTTCAGGCGTTAATTTCACAACTGCTTACATGTAAAGTAAGCTGTGCATAAAAATGCAGTTTGAACGACGATGTATTGATCTTTCATTTATTCACTTGTATACCAGCAATGGTTACCATACTAAGTGTGTTGATTAAACCTTTCAAAATTGACCAATCAGAGTATCTACCAGAATCTGGTGTACCGGAATGACCTTTTTACCATCTGGAATTCCAAAGGAGAAACGGGGTGGGGGCATAGACTGGAATCCCAAAGGTATTGGTCGTTGAGGGTTCATTGGTCTGGAATTTCGTACACTTAATTATACAGGAGAAGGGCGGGCAAAGTTTGACCCCTGCTGTAGTGACCTTAAAATTAAATTAGTTTTAAGCTCACATCAATGAAATCAACCAGCTTACCACTCCATTTTTGTGCCATCTTGAACATGTTGCCTGCACTAATGTACAACTCTGCCGCATCCTCGAGCTTTGAAGCACCCCTGAAATCATGAAGGCAATTATCCCTTGTTGTTGACTGCTATTCAAAATCCTTGCCAGAGATCTTTCAACTTCATTCAAAATGATAGAAAAGAAAGTTTACGTGGAATACGGTAACCTACCCAAATAGTCCACCTAAAAAACCCTGGGAGGACTTTACTTTCTTCTCAGCCTGAGCAATCAGCTCGATTGCTTTCTCTTCGTTAGACATACTGCCTTAGATTGCTTGTTAAGTCGGCCGGTTGTACAGTAAAGTCATTTATATACCGCATCTACTGTTTTCTTACAACACTTCGCTGAGACTTGCTCCTCTTTCATGTTGACGTCACATTCCTTTCAAACCGGGGAAGACTGGGACGAAAGACTATTCTCCCAACATTCATTTGGAGCATCGTTGAATCTAATATGGCGGACGAGACAGCGCGGGAAAAGTTGTATTGAAAGGTTTTTTGTGTTTTCTTTTTCCTCGGGTAACAATATTTCAAGTGATATTTAGGAAAGCAAGTTAAGTTCTTCTTCTCGTCTTACCAAGATGGGGGTAAGCTAGTTTTTGTACTTTGTAAAGTGCGTTTAATAAGTCTTTGGTGTGAACCTCCAATTTCCTTGCGCTATGGTATGGAGTTTTGAAGACATAAGCTTAATCCCTAACTGTATACGATTCATTAATCTTAGAAAAAGTCTGCCAAAGGAAAGGAGAAAAAACTAAGGAGGAAGGAGGTATGTAAGAATTCCCAATATTCTCAAGTCGACCTCATAAAATATAAGCTTTACTAGGCTCTTTATTCCTGATGTGATCAGTGACAGTACCCGACTAGTCTTGGCCTTGGCTTCAGCTTTACGTGTTAACTTCATGCGAACTTGGTTGTATGAAAGTTTAAATGTCGATCCTGGTAAAAGTTGTTGAGCTCACGTGACAGAAAAGAGTTGCAGTAATTTCTTATGTCAGCGACGACTGGTTAATATCTAGCATTTGGGTACAGAGGATTATGATTTTAGCGGCTAAACGTGAAAGACTAGGACATTAAATTAGTGAAAAAATTAGGAACAGCTCTAGGTACTCTGGGTGCGTTCAGATACCAATGTCTGTATGCATCTTTTTTATTTTGGTGTTTTCATCATGTATTTTTGTTGTGTATTTTGACCATTTTAAGTATGGAGTAAGCTTATAAATGAAAATAAATTTATATGCATCACATCAATACCTCCACCCCGATATGCACCATTGCTAGTAATTACCAGTAAGTGAATAACTAATTTTGTATCTACAATCAAAAAACACTTTTTAAGGAAATGGCCAGAGTTAGTGCTGCTCAAGCTGTGGTGGATGTTGCTAATGAGGTAACAATCATCCCTTAGTAAAATATAGATGGTTAGTGATTGTTGTCTGAGGCATGATAACCTAATGGTTAGTGTGCTAGACACTGGGTCATGCAGTCCAGTTTCCAGCATCCTGTCTACATGGAAGAGGGGAGGAGAGAGAGATGGCGAGGAGGGTGGGGAGGGTAAAAATACTCATTAAGCTATGTTATGCTTAATACAGAGACTATAGTCAGCGGATAATCAACGGCTTAAGCCACAAGGCTCCAGTGCTAGACTCCCGCTGACTTGGTATCCCAACACAAACTTTAAATCCACCCTTGTTGTGGTGCCCCCTGACAAGACTTTCCAAGGTCCCGCTTCCCTGAAAACCCAGACAGCTTACATTGTAAGTTGTTGATGTATAACAGAAACCATGGGTGAACAGCACAACTGATGAATGTACTGTTTAACTACAGTTCATCTTTCAAGAATGTTTAGTTTAGCTGTAGTTGTTTACTTCTTAATATTCCTTGCTTCTTTTTAGGTGAAAGATCCTTTAGCAGCTTTGACAGCATTTAAAAGCTTCAAAAGAAATGGGTAAGAGTCATGTCAAACAGTAGAGTACATTGAGATGCCTATTTGTAATTCACTTTTAGTATGGTGCAGTATTCTAGCATGTTCAACATGGCAAGAACATTTTATTTGAAGGTTGTTTGGGATATTTGTAAGTCTTAATTTGGTAATGCATATTATTTTTTTTTATCTTATTCTATCCCATATTAAAAGATGTTTTCACTGAGTTGATTATGAAAAAAAAAATGAAAACTGTGGTTAACATTCAGCAAGTTTTGATGTTGAAGCCAGGAGGACATTGGTTTTGTCAAGCTAGAATTCATTTCATTTTGCATCAATTATTTAACTTTAAAATGATTTTCTTGATATCACTCTTTGCACCCTTGACTTTATGAATCTATACTTAAACTGACGATTTTTTGAAAAGAAATGTCTTATTATTTGTTGACAGGTTGGATCTTCAGCTGGAGTGTCAGCGAATAACAGACATGAGTGCCGAGGATATTGAGTGGTCCTTTGATCTCACAAAACACAACATGCAATTGCTGTAAGGCTATAAACATAATTTAATTATATGACTGAGAAAATTACTTGGTTGAGAGCAGGCCAATTTATCACTAAATTATAAATTTGTGTTGCAGTGGAATTTAATGCAGGCAAGATCACAATTTTCTCAGTTATATCTTATAACTGTGTAAACAAGTGAAAGCACCAGCAATTTTAAAAGGATTAATGATTTGCACTACTCATGATATTTGAAAATTCCTTCAAACTGCAATTGCCTAAAGGCTTTTGTGATTTTGAGAGAATTTTCAAATATGACTTGTAGACAAGTGTAAATACCTAATATTGCACAAGCATTCAAGATTACCTATGCCTAAAGATTATGGTCAGTGCTAGGATAATTACTATTTATTTGTGATATTAAAGAAATAGGATTAGGAAATGAAGACGTAAAATTATGGTAAGTTCAAGTCAGTCTCAATTTATTAAAAACCAGTAAAGCATGTTAAGTAGTTTGTTGCTCCACAAAGGTTGCTTACTCAAGTTAATGTATGTTTTCAATCTCTGGCTCAACTTTTAGCATTAGACAGGAGAGAGAAAAATATAGTCAGACCATTCAAATTCCAGTTTCCAACAGCACAGTGGATGATAGTGTTTGGACAACTTACATCAAGTTTTTAAATTCAAACATTTCATATTTTATCACAGGTTTAAATCAGTTCTTATTGCATTATCTCTTTAAATCTATTGAAACTACTTGTTTCCATCAACAGTTATGAGAAAAGCTCTTGGGGCTGGAATGACAAGAAGAAGAAAGATGAAATGACAGAAGATAAAGCTTGGTAGTTATAATCAAAATGAGTCCTTTAAATCACGAGGAAACTTCTGATATGCAGTGGATAAAATTATATTAATTATATTACTACAATGTATATATCAGAAATTCTAGGCAATTGGTATTTTTTGCACAAAGTAATATACCAAAATCTATGTGGCAAGGAATAATACTAGCAGTGAAAGGTTTTACATATCAAGCTGGGTTGAGGAAGTTCCAGATTTCAAATCAACCCAAGTCTTTATTGCAAGGAATCAAATAATTAACAGTAAATGACCATTATTTCCACATTAGTTTGAAATAATAGTCAGTAATGTACTTTCTTTTATTGAAAGAAGTTCCTTCCCTCATTCTTCACAAAGTACTATATTTGTCAATGAAGTTGAAGAGTTTTTCTCCTATCTGTCACAGGTATCTTATGGCTAAAGACAATTCAGGAAAAGGAGTTGCATTCTCACATTTCAGGTTTGACTTGGAAGAGGGAGATGAAGTACTTTACTGGTAAGTCTGGACATTTTTCCATTGCTGATCAATTAAGTTCACTTCTTGACACTTTAACCAGCAAACAAAGTTTTTATTGGTTTTAGTCAGTGAGCAATTCATTCATCTGCATTTGATGGTTTTGATTTTGCCAAAGCTCTTAGTTCAGTTCACATCTTCAAGAAACAGGGTCAGGTTTCTTCTAGGTCATCTCTTGCTCAGTGTTCTTTCAAAGCTCATTTGTGGTCTCTTGTAGCCCATCTTAGTCACCCTCCTCTCCCTGTTTATTTTTTTTTTTAATATAAAGTAAAGTTATTTTATTCCTGGATATTTCCATTTGTGTCAACTCATTCAATGAAGTTTCTTTATGTCTAGCTTGCCCTGCAGTAGAAGACTGTATTGGCAGTAACTCAGCAAACAAGTTATAATTTTGCATTAATTTTTTTCTGTTATTTTTGCCAGCTATGAAATTCAAGTAGAACCTGGAGCACGAGCCAGAGGACTTGGCAAGTTCTTCATGCAGATTTTGGAGATGATGGCACACAGGTTTGTTAAACCCTAACATCAACAGGAAAATTTTTAAGTTAATGTGTAACTCATAGTAAATTTGTCATACATTAGCATGTTTTGCTTACGATTTCAGTCTTTAATTCATGCAAATCTTAAAATGTCATCATTTTCTTAAAGTACATTCAAGCCCTTGGGCAATATTCTCCAGTAAGTCTGTGCTACCATATCGATAAGAACGAAATATAGTTTGCTGGAATTTCAGTTATGTTGCTGGTTTTAAAATTGTGGTGTTCTCTTATATTTCAGAGCCGAGATGAAAAAGATCATGCTCACTGTGTTGAAAGGTACATTGAAGAAGAATAGGAAAACCTGCAGAAGATTG